CTCTCTCTCTCTCTCTCTCTGTGTCCGGTACTAACCTGTGAAGGTGGCGCCTTGTTGCAGGTACATCGAAGACGAAGCTGGAGCTATGGTGCCACAGGTAAGTCTCCCTGGCCTCCGCCAACCATCGCTCTCTCTCTCTCTCTCTCTCCAACACTACTCTAGCTCCTACTAGCGCCCAGCGCTGAAGACTACTGCTAATGCTACGACTACTCCTGCAGCGCTCCTCCAGAGTGCTGCTGCCGAGTCCTGAAGACTACCTCCTGCCTCCTGCACGTGAAGTGCCTGGGAAGTTCCTAGGAGCTGCCTCGTGACTGCCTGCAGCCTGTAGGGTGGGCCAGTCTTATATAGTGCTGGCCCGTCCAGGAGGCTGCTCTTGCCAATGTCAAAATGGCCAGACCCTTGCGTTGAAGTTCAAACAAAGGTTGTCTTCCTGGTCTGGTGCCTAAGTTTCAGGGCAGGTCGATCTTATGAGGGCCTGAAAATGGCCCTCCGTTTCAGGCTGAAAAGACTCGGGGCCTGGAGGGCCCTGTTTTAGGCTGAAACGACACAGGGCCTGTAGGCCCTTGTTTTCAGGCTTTCAGGCTGAAACGACACAGGGCCTGTAGGCCCTCGTTTTCAGGCTTTTAGGCTGAAACGAAATAGGCCCTACACCTACTGACCCTTAGTCTACCTTGTCGGGCTCTGCTGGGCCTGTGTGGTACAGAGTATGCCACAGGGTCTGTTACTGCAAAATTATTCACCTGGTTCCAGGAGCCGTCTTCGTACCCTGCGGGTCTGATACTACAGAATTATTCACTTGGTTCCACGAGTCGCCTCCGTACATCTTTAGAACAGGCAGACCAGTCTTCCAGCGATATCCAAAAATTACCTAACCGGTTTTTGCACCAGGTTCATAACTCCAATTTTTTTGTTAGTAATAGCCCATTACCGCATCCAAAAGAACATGATTGGGTCCGACGAGCGGACCTTGCAGAGTGCGAGGTTCATTCACTGGACCCAATAGTCAGGCAATGTTCAGTCCTGCGAGCGCCCTATACAACGAATCTGGCCCGGATAGCACCTACCGGGTCAAGAACGTGTGACCAAGGCCTCGGGAAGGGACACGGAGGGGGGAGCTAAGGTTGGTGATGAAGGCAGCTGCACGCAAGGTAGTGATGGGGGCTTTTGTGAGGGAGTGGTCGGTGGGTGAATGGAAAGGTGCTCCACGTTGCCAACCATGGAGGTGTCGTCCCAGCCCTTGTCGAGCTGGTATTGAGAAGAGGAGGATTGAGGTACGGCTGAGTTTTCGTATCGTCGAAGCTGAGGTGGGCCGTTCGACGAACTGAGAGGACAAAACACCGCGGAGGAAGCTAGTAACACCTGAGAGATGGACACTGCCAAGATTGGAATTGAAGGATGACAAAGGCTAATAGAGGGTTGTGGCGGTGACTCAGAGCGGGTTATGGGTTTGATCTCCTCCCCCTTTCCCCAATAGTGTGGTGAATGAATGTTTAGGATGGCTTGAACCCCCTGTGACGACTCGCTGACAGGCTTGGCGAGGTGGTGTCACACTGTCTTCTGATCCTTGGGGGTTCGAAGAGGGCCGTTGTTGTCTTCGGTGTTAGCATTGCTTTGATGCCTAGTGGCTAGCAGTGGGAGGAGGTGTGTTCCTCTTTCCCCGAAGACGGTGGGGTAGGGTTTGAGGGGAAAGGTGGCAAGTAGGTGGGTGTTGAGGAAGTGGGGGAGGAGGTTTTTCAATTTTTGATAGTGATGATCTCCGTGGTTTTTTGTTAGCTGTTGCTAATGATCCTCGTGATAATAACTTGGTTTCTGCTTTTTTATCCATATCAACATGAAAGTTCACACTTAAATAATTACTATTAATCTTCTGATTTTGTTTTGATTTCGATCTGATTTTGATCTGATTTGAATTTAGAGCTGATTGATCCTT